TTTGTTTCAACCCAACCGAAAAATTTTTGCTTCAATTTCAGGCATTTTTGACTAAAGCAAAGGAACGGGGACTAGATTCACAACACAGCTGGAACAGCTGGTGCTGCCGCTGCACTTCTAAGCTTTATCCCAGTGGTAAGGTATCATAGAATCATAGAATCATAGAATATCAGGGTTGGAAGGGACCCCAGAAGGTCATCTAGTCCAACCCCCTGCTCGAAGCAGGACCAATTCCCAGTTAAATCATCCCAGCCAGGGCTTTGTCAAGCCTGACCTTAAAAACCTCTGAGGAAGGAGATTCTACCACCTCCCTAGGTAACGCATTCCAGTGTTTCACCACCCTCTCAGTGAAAAAGTTTTTCCTAATATCCAATCTAAACCTCCCCCACTGCAACTTGAGACCATTACTCCTCGTTCTGTCATCTGCTACCATTGAGAACAGTCTAGAGCCATCCTCTTTGGAACTCCCTTTCAGGTAGTTGAAAGCAGCTATCAAATCCCCCCTCATTCTTCTCTTCTGCAGGCTAAACAATCCCAGCTCCCTCAGCCTCTCCTCATAAGTCATGTGTTCTAGACCCCTAATCATTTTTGTTGCCCTTCGCTGGACTCTCTCCAATTTATCCACATCCTTCTTGTAGTGTGGGGCCCAAAACTGGACACAGTACTCCAGATGAGGCCTCACCAATGTCGAATAGAGGGGAACGATCACGTCCCTCGATCTGCTCGCTATGCCCCTACTTATACATCCCAAAATGCCATTGGCCTTCTTGGCAACAAGGGCACACTGCTGACTCATATCCAGCTTCTCGTCCACTGTCACCCCTAGGTCCTTTTCTGCAGAACTGCTGCCTAGCCATTCGGTCCCTAGTCTGTAGCGGTGCATTGGATTCTTCCATCCTAAGTGCAGGACCCTGCACTTATCCTTATTGAACCTCATCAGATTTCTTTTGGCCCAATCCTCCAATTTGTCTAGGTCCTTCTGTATCCTATCCCTCCCCTCCAGCGTATTTACCACTCCTCCCAGTTTAGTATCATCCGCAAATTTGCTGAGAGTGCAATCCACACCATCCTCCAGATCATTTATGAAGATATTGAACAAAACCGGCCCCAGGACCGACCCTTGGGGCACTCCACTTGATACCGGCTGCCAACTAGACATGGAGCCATTGATCACTACCCGTTGAGCCCGACAATCTAGCCAGCTTTCTACCCACCTTATAGTGGTACTCACATGGGATGGGGGAAGATCAAGGTTCAGTTCCCCTTTGTCAGACATGGAGCAGGGATTTGAACTTGAGTCTCTCACATTAGCAGAAAGTGCCATATTCAATGGGTTATAGACATTCTGACACGGCACTTTCTCAGGCTCGCCTGTTGGAGCTGTCCATGTTATATAAATAATTGCGTAGTCATTGGAGCATTGGGGTCTCCCACATCCTAGGCAAGCACCCTTACCACCAGGCTGTAGAGTCATTCTCATTGCCTTTCCCTGGCTCAGTGACAGCCACAGTGGCAATCCATAATCACAGAAATGCAGGGCTGGAACAGAACCTCGAGAAGTCATCAATGCTCCTACTAATACAGCCCAATAGGCCAATGGGGTTCCAAAGAGGATGGAGCTAGAGCTAGGCTGTTTTCAGTGGTGGCAGATGACAAAACAAGAAGCAATGGTCTCAAGTTGGAGTGGGGGAGGTCTAGGTTGGATATTGGGAACCGCTTTTTCACTAGGAGGGTGGTGAAGCACTGGAATGCATTACCTAGGGAGGTGGTGGAATCTCCATCCTTAGAGGTTTTTAAGGCCTGGCTTGACAAAGCCCTGGCTGGGATGATTTAGTTGGTGTTGGTCCTGCTTTGAGCAGGACTAGATGACCTCCTGAGGTCTCTTCCAACTCTAAAATTCTATGATTTAGGCCCCCTTGTGCTCATGTAACTCACACACCTCCCGGGTGTGGTGCTCTGTCCCAACTAGTGGCACTGAGACCACTTAGAGATTAATGAGTCTGCTCTACAGCCTTAGCTAAGAGCCATGTGGGGCTCATGCAGTTAGCTGTAGAGGTCCCAGGTTCAATCCTGACTGCCGACGACCAGGGCCTGTCAGTGTTACATTAGACCATCCCTGACCAGTGTTTGACCAGCCTTGTCTGAAAACCCTCCAGTGATGGGGATTCCACAACATCCATTGGAAGCGGATTCCAGAGCTTAACTAGCCTTATGATTAGAAAGCTTTTCCTAATACCTAAATCTCCCTTGCTGCAGATCATGGGTGGCGCGTGAGCCCCCCCTTTGGGAAGGCTAGCCACTCGGCCCTGCCCCTACTCCCCCCCCCGTCTGCAGAAGTCCTGAGTGGCCGCCCACTCTCCATCCACCGGAACCCTGAGCACCCACCCCTGACCCCCTGAGGGCAGAGGAGCCCCAGCCGAACTATCCCGGGCCACCCCCAGCACTAGCCCCAGCACCGGGCCGCTAGCCATCCCCAGTGCTGGGCTGCCAGCCAGCTTCAGCGTCAGCCCTAGCGCTGGGCTACTGGCTGACCTGAGCACCAGGTCACTGGTGGCGTCAGCACCTGCTCGAGTCGGCCACCCCCAGCATTGGGCCACCCCCAGCATCGGCCCGCTGGCCTTTGGCCGGCAGCAACACTGAGCTTCCACCAGCTTTGGTGCTAGCTTGGGGGAAGTCAAGCCCATTATTTCTTGTCTTACCTTCAGTGGATATGTAGAACAATTGATTATAGTCCTCTTTATAACAGCCATAACATATTTGAAGACTGAAATCAGATTCCCCCCTCAGTCTTCTTTTCTCAAGAGTAAATATTCCTTTTTTTAACCTTGCCTCAGAGGTCAGGTTTTTTATCATTTTTGTTGCTCTCCTCTGAACCTTCTCCAGTTTGCCCACCTTGTTCTTAAAGTGCAGCACCCAGAAACGGATACAGCATTCAGCTGAGGCCTCACCAGAGCTGAGCAGAGTGGGACAATTAGCTTCTGTCTCTGACATTCAACACTCCTGTTAATAGCCCCCACAATGATATTAGCCTTTTTCACAACTGCACCACATTTTGATGCTTGTTCAATGTGTGCTCCACTAGAACTCAAATCATTCACTCCGGGTTTTGTTTGGCACTGAGTTTGGATTTTTGACTTCAAATTTTTTTGAAAAAAGTGATTTTCAATTCAACCTGCAATGAACCTTGGTTTTTGTTTTTTGTTTGGAATTGCCAGTGAACCAAAAAATCCATGATCTGTCCAGCTCTTGTAATGAGGCCATCTCAGGTCCCTCTCTCTCCTGGAGTCCCAGGAGACAGCAGGAGTAGCAGCTATGCTGGTAAAGCTGGTGCCGTCCAGACCAACCATCTCCTTGCTTCCATTGCTTGACAGCCTCCATCCCCGAACACTGTCCATGAAGGTGCGGCTGCCTCAGCTCATTAACAGTCACCAATTAAAGCACATTGTGGTGATTCCAATTATAAACATTCCTTCCCACTTCCAGGTTTAGCTCGTTGCCATGCCAACAGTAGCTTAACCAAGAGCCTTGCAGCTCCCTTTGCCCCGCGCAGTTCACTCCAACAGTCCTGTCTGGGCCAGGTCAGTGGGCGCCTGCTTCTGCTGACTTCCAGCAACTATTTCATGTAACAGGCTGAGTGGGCCTTTTGTTAGCTTGGAAACCTCAAAGCACAGGGCCCAGGACAACTGCAGCTTTTGCTAGTCGAGGCCTCAGCGACACTGCGGGGCAGCAGCATGGCGGAGGCCCTTCCTTTGCTAAGCCAAGGCACTGGAGACCCCCGGCAAGGGGCTTGCAGATCTGGCAGCCTCCAGCCCCTCAAGGGGCGCCTCCCCCATTGAAAGGGCAGAGTTGAGCTGAGACCTGCCCATGCTCCCAGGCTGCCTTTGGGACTTGAGAGCTTTGGCCTCCAAAGGTGCCGTTGCAGCATCACCATCAGTGCCAAACCCCGCCCCAGTCCCAAGGGGAGCCAAGGCAGAGCCAGGACGGGAGGCCAGTCTGAGATCGCCAGGAGGCCCCTGGGAAGGGGTTATGATTGTGGAGAAAAGGAGCACCCTGTGAGTGAGCAGGGAGGCCTGTGAGCTGGGGGGCACTGCCTGTTCATTGCAGGAAGTGAGAGTTACAGCAGAGAGCTACTGGGAGGGGGAGAGAGAGCCCTGTGCAGATGGTTGATATTCTGGGGAGATCGGACAGGGGAGACTGGATGGGATGTGGGGTGTCAGCAATAATTGTTCCAGAAGTGGGGGGAGGAGGGATCTCATTGTCTTGTCTCCAACCTCATTTTTTGGGGCAGCAGCTGCTGCTGAGCAGTCTGGATCCTGGCAGGACCAGAGCCTGCTGGCTGTCACTTGCAGAGCCAGAAGTTGAATCCACATCTGAGCAGCACTGTAACACGGGGCTTGCTTAGGGTTGCTAACTTTCTAACCACACAAAACCAAAACACAAACCTAGCCCTGCCCATTCCGAGGCCCCACCCCTGCACACTGCATTCCCCACCCTCACTCACTTTCACTAGGCTGGGGCAGGGGGTTGAAGGTGCGGGAGTGGGCTGCGGGTTACGGCAGCGGGTTGGGGTGTGGGAGGGGGTGAATGCTCTGGGCTGGTGAATGCTCTCCCCCCTCAAGGAGCTGGACCTGGTTGCTTCCGGGGCACGGCATGGTGCGGTGCCAGGACGGGTAAGGACTAGCCTGCCTTAGATCTGCAGCACTGCCAATCAGACTTCTAAAAGTCCGGTCGGCAGTGCTGCCCAGAGCCTCCAGGGACCCTTTTCAACCAGGGGTTCCAGCTGAAAACCAGAGACCTGGCAACCCTATACATGCCCCCAGGCCAGAGGGCACCACAAAAGCCAGGCCCAAAGAGGGCAGCAACCCTTCTCCAAGGAGCTGTAGTTTCCTAGAACTTAAGTCCAGAAGCTCAGTTCTTCTGACCTCCTGGCTAGCACAGACCCGAGAACTTCACCCAGGCCCACATGCACTGAGCCCAGTAGCATGGCTGGCTATCATCTCTTCCAGAAGGCAGCCAGTCTCTGGGGGGGAAACACACCCACAGGGCATTGGCCTCTGGAGGGGACAACAGACCCACAGGGCCATTAGGCTCTAGGGGGAATGTATCAATGGAGCACTGGGGAGGGGACAACAGACCACACGAGCGCTGGGCTCTGGGGGGAACACGTTCATCAGGCTCTGGCGGGGAAGCCACATCCAGGGGAGCACGTGGATGGTGCAGGCCATGGCGCAGTCTGAGCTGTGTCCTGTGTGACTGAGCCCCAGGTCGACGATGCAGCCATATCCCCGCACACAGCTTGTGCAGTTCAAAGGCAAAGAAACATTTATTCTTCCAAGGTCTTTTTTCCTCTTTTTTATATTTTTACAAACAGACTTGCCCCTCTCCCTGCAGACAGCGCCTCGCCAGACACCCAGCCCTGCGTGCCTACTCCACACCTCCAGAGCCTGGCCAGGTATCCCAGGCCCTGCGGTCTGCCCCACTGGTCTCACTGAAATGCATGTCCCCACACTTCCTGTCTGCTTCTGTTTTGGACATTGGCATGGACCCAAGGAGACACTCAGTTCAGCCAAGGGGCGCGCCCCCCAGCAAGTGCTTGTGGCCATCACACAGGCCCCAGATAATGGTCCCAACTGCTCCCATTGCTGCATGTCACATCAGTTTCTGAGCCAGGCCCCTCTCTAAAGAAATGGTGAGGGCTTGCTCCCATTACACTAGAAGACTGGACACGAGGAGTCAGCTGGAGTGAGATTAACCCAGGTGTGGGCTTGCAGCGCAAGCTGAAGCTGGTGTTTTGGGGGGGCCTGCTCTTCTCCCAGGAACCTGCTGCCAGCTGGCCCAACTCTGTTCCTCTGCAAAATCTGTTTAACGGTGAGGGGGCTGTTTTTAGCTCTTCCGTGTCGCTGTGGGATGATACAAACAGTGAAGCCAGGGTCAGGTGGGGGCTGTAAAAGCTGCCAATTCTGGAGGACACAGGCTCTCCAGTGCCATTTCTGGGGTGCAGAACCATTGGTCTCCTCCAGCTGTGTGGGTGGAAGGAGCCAAGGCTACAGGGGCGTGTGTGTGAACCCATGTGGTCTACCCAGGGAGGGGGAAACTCTTTGCAAGATCAGCCCAGATCCTAGTCCCACCGAAGTTGAGGAAAGGAACGGTCAGTCACTGTGTGCCTGTGTAGTGCTGGCTTGACAGGGCCCCAGTCTCAGCTGGGGTCTGCGCAGCACCTGGCTTGATAGGACCTTGATCTTGGCTGGGGTCTGTGCAGCAGCTAGCATGACTGGGCCCTGATCTTGGCTGGGGTCTGTGCAGCATCAGGCTTACAGGGCCTCGATGTCGGGGGGTGGAGGGGTGTCTGTGCAGAACCTTGGATGATGGGGTCCTGAGCTCGGGCAGGGTCTGCACAGCACTTGCGACTTCTAGGGGAGCAGGAACTGGGCTGGGGTTTCTGCTCACTCCAGAGAGGCCCTAGCTGAATCCTGGGGGCTCTCTGGCGTGTTTCTGACGTGTGCACCCTGGGCCAGCTAAGCACTAAGCAGCGCTCAGCCCTGTGGTGAGCGGAGCCCATGTTAGCCCAGAGATGCCCTGGTTCTCCTCGGCAGCTGGGCTGGGGGCAAAGGCAGGCTCCCTCGTGAGGGCTGTCTGAAGGACACTGGGAAAGCCCTCAATGGCTACTCTGGAAGAAGCCCCCCCTCCTGGAGCAGGACAAAGGGCCCCGTTAGACATGGATCCTCAGGTCACTGGCCTAGCTGGTTGTTCCAGGACTCAGATCACCTTGTGAACGTCCATCTGCAGAGGAGTTTGTTCCCCAAAGTCCCATAGAAAGAAGGGTATGTCAGGTGCACATTAGGACATGTGTAATCTGCAGATAGTGCAAATCAGAGAGGCCCCGTCCCCAAAGCCTCACGCTCTGGTTAGTGGTTAAGGTGACCAGGTCCCAGGCTTGCAGTTCTGGGCACATGGGACACTGGAGTCCAGGGCTTCCCTGTGATTTGCATGTCGTCAACCATCCTCTAACCTCTTTTCATTCACAACGGGCTCAAGCCCCAAGTCATCGTGACCCCTAACTCCCACCTCATGCCTGGCAGGAGGCTCTGATCGCTCCCAGACAAAGGTACAAAGAATGTTCCATCCCCCCTCCCAGGAGCATGCAGTGCGGGGGGTCCCTGTAGGAACCTTTGGCTGTCTGGAGAAGGGGCACAATCCTGAGGTTGGGTCTGAACTGCACGTCAGCCACCGCTGTCCATCCCAACACCTGTCCCGTTCCCCACTGCCACCAGGATGAGCCCTTGGAGAAAAGCAGCTCTCCACCAAGCGGGCAGGGCAGAGGCCTTCTCACACCCCGTTGGCCCTTTACACCCCTGGAAGGCCCTGAGGGGAGAGCAGGTGTAAGGCACTTTGCCAAGCACTGCAGGGTAGATCCTTGGAGAGGGAGTTTCTGGTCCTCAGCTGATCCCAAGCAGGAAGGTGATTCCCAGACAGCAGTGGGCTCCTTTGCGGGTGACCTGCAGATGCCGCAGCTGGAGGGCCAGTCCGTTCCAGGGGTGACTTGGGGAGAGAGGACAATGTGGCAAACAGGGAGCCAAGAGAGCAAGTCACTGGCTAGGGAGAGTCCAGACTCCTTCCTGCCACTGGCGACTCAGAAACCAGCACCACTCATCACTGATTCATGGGTTCCTCTTCCTCCATCGGCTCATCCTGTGGCCTACAGTAGAGGAAATCAGCCAGCATGGTCAGAGGGGGCCTGTTCCCCCTGCCAACCCTCCGGGGAGCAGCTGGAATTCTCCACACACCATGGCCAGATGGGGGCTTCTCCCCCCGCCATCCCCCAGGGGAACTGTTGGAATTCCCCATACACCATGGCCAGAGGGGGGCTGCTCCCCCCGCCATCCCCTACTCGTGGGGGTGCACTTGCAAACGCGGTACTGCAGTTGCAAGCCCTGGGCACTGAATGCCCTTGGACTGATCTTGCCCTAGTGGGTGCCCTACAACCCCATGGGGCAGACCCTAAGATGTGGGAATCCCCAGGCACTACCCTAGTGCCCCGTGAGGGCAATTTCTGCTGCAGTCACAGAGCTGGTGCAGGCTGGGCTCAGGGGGTCGCTGGTTAGAGGTTTGGGGGCTGGTGGTGAAGCTGGGTTGTGACTCCCCCCTCGACTCCTCTCAGAAAGCCAGCGTCTGCCCGGAGACCCAACAGGTGTGCACAGCTTGCCCATGTCCTGGTCCCTGGCTGACAGCACATTGGAGCCATGGTGCCAAGAGGCTCAGGGCCCAAGAGCAGTGCTGAGTTCTGGGTGACCCCAGGGCTACAGGGAATGGCACCGTCACCTCTTCTCCACCATCACTGCCACCGACAAGGAGGCCAAGGCCGTCACCGTCTCCACCTCCTCTGGGTCATGGTGCTGCGCCTCCAGGAACGAGCAGCTCACCTTGGAGGCAAAGCGCTGCACAGCGCCCCAGTATTTACCTGAAAGAGAGGCAGGGCTTAGGGGGGGCCTCCCCATTCTCAGAGCGGGGGAGGAAGAGGGAGGGGTCTTCCCGCTCAGAGCAGAGGAGGAGGAGGGGCGGAGGGCTTGCTGCTCACAGAGAGGAAGGGGGAGGCTGGCCTAGCTTTGCCCAGCCTCTGGCTGTCTGGGTTTTCCTGCGCTGGGGGCTTTCCCAAGCTCCCTAGGGTGAGTGGCATGGCTCAGGCTTCTCTGGGAGGGAAACGAGACTCTGGTGCGCCCTCTAGCACTGGGATTGCGCCCCCACCGGTAGCTCCAGGCATGAAGCAGACATACAGCCAGGGTGCTGGAAGCTCCAGCAGCCCCACCACACTCTCGAGCCTCAGCTGAGGCGGGTGCTGAGTACCAGTGATGGAGCCTGCTCTGGAGTGGTGGTGTGACTGGGGTCTGGGCCTTGGATGCTGATCCCTCCCATATCCCTTTTCTGGCCCCCCTGGAGTCAGCTCCTCCCAGGGACACTCACTCTGGACCCGGATCACTGCTTCCAAGGAGCGCACGGCATTGGGGTTCGGCTTCTGCCTCATGCTCTCCTCAGGGAGGGGATCCAGCTGCAGGGACAAACGCCAGCCAGACCCGTTAGTGCTGCTTCCGGCCTGGAGGGGAGCTCATTGCAGAGAGTTGTGCAATCCCCCCCCCTCAGCCCAGGGGGGCAGCGCAGCCGGAACACACTGCAACCTTTGGCCAGCCCTCCGATGGAATAGTGGGCTGTGGGGCTGGCCGGGGTCGCAGCCACGCCCTGCTGCCATACATGGAGGATCTGGGACCCTTGGGGCCAGCCTGTCAGACAGGCTCCAGGCTGGCTCTAGGGATACTGGACAGTGTGTCCTGCTTCAGGGAGGTGGAAGAGGAGCAGACTGGTGGGACCACAGGGCCTGTCATAACAGATCAGCCTTGTCCTGTCCCCACATGGGCTCCCCAGTGCTGCAGAAGACAGCAGGCCCCTGCAGAGGATGGTGGGCTGTGGGCAAAGAGGGTACCCTGCTGTGTGGCAGTGTCCAGTGGACAGGAGCTGAGCGAGTCACGCATAGGCGCTAACTTCCCCTCTGCCAGTGGGTGCTCAACCCCCCCTGCCCCTGGCTCCCCCCACCCCGCCTCCTCCCTGCACTGCCCTTGCCCCACCCCCATTTCACCGCTGCCCAGAAGTTCCCGCCCCACCCCGCCTTTTCCAACCTCAGCCCGCCCCCTTCCCACCCCCATTCCACCCCCTTCCCCCAAGTCCCCACCCCTGCCCTGCCTCTTCTCCGCATCCTCTCCTAAGTGCCGCGTCCCCACTCCTCCCAGAAAGTCCTAAGCGCTGCCAAACAGCTGTTAGGCGGCGAGGGGGAGGAGCGGGGGTGCGGTGGGCTTGGGGAGGGGGGGAGAAGGAGGCAAGGAGGGGGGAGCTTGGCTGCTGGTGGGTGCGGAGCACCCGCTAATTTTTCCCCATGGGTGCTCCAGCCCCAGAGCACCCATGGAGTCGGTGCCTTTGGGCGAGTGCACCTCCCCTAACTTCCATGAGATCCAGCCCCAGGCTTTGCCTCACTTGCCTCTTGCTAGTTCCACAGGGCAGCAACCACTAGGGCAGGGCCAGGGAACTCGGGCTGCCTCCCAGGTCTGCTGCCCTCACCACTGGGGCTGGGAGGAGCTCATTGCCTCACCTCATTGCCCAGCAGGGCAGACACACAGGCCTCCGAGGCATCGCAGATGGCTGTGAGGTCATGGCCCCCTTCCAGGGCGAGGACGATGGCTCCTCCTGCCAGACTCATCAGCTGTCGGGTCAGGTAGCCGAAGCCTAAGGAGGAAGAAGCCAAAGAAGCAGCCTGTCAGCCACCCTGCTGCACTGATCATGCCCAGGCACATGCCTGCTTTGTAGACTGCCCTGGCTACCAGGAGCAGGGCTGACAGGAGCAAGCAGCTGGCATTGGACTCCAGCCCAGACCATCAGCCTTGGGGACTCTGTAACCCCGGGACCATGTGTACCAGTGACTGGAGCAACAGGCTGACCTGCCAGGTGGGGCTGGTCAGCACTCCCATGGCTTCCCCATCCTGCTGGGAGGGGCCTTAACGAGCACACAGCCAGCAGGGCTGAGCCACTCAGTCAGGACTCTCTGGTCAATCCAAAGTGCCAGGGAGCAAATGGGGGTGGCTGCTGCATCACAGAGCACAGGCCTGTGCTGCTATTACAATAACCCCCCCAATAACCCCCCTCTTGCCCTGGCCTTTGCAATGTGGAGAGCTCCTGGAGCAGCTCTCCCCTCCTCAGAGCACTTCCACACTGGGAGCACATTCCTCCCCTACTGGCCTCCCGTAGCAGCTCCTGAACAGTCCTGTTCCAGGCAGACCCAGCCCCAGCTTGCTTTCTAACCCGCCAGTGCAAGAGCATCAACCGCAGCTCCTTACATTTGGCAGAGACTTTGTAGCCTCCCAGCGGCGGTGGGTGGCCGTCGGCTGCGTCAAACCCCGCAGACACCAGCACGACGTCTGGGGAGAACTCATGGGCGATCGGCATCACAACAGTTCTGACAGGGAAGGAAACACACATTCAGCAAGGGCAATGGCCTGGGGCTGAGGACACAAAAGGTACCCCAGAGCAGGTATCAAACTGCAGGCCAGAGGCCAGAACTGTTCTGCTCGATGGAGTCCCTGTGACGTGCTGGTTTGGCAGGATCTATGCTTTCTAGCCCTCAGGGTAGTGAAGCTGGCCTTCTCAACATAACCTGTGTACCAATGCAGTGACGTCTTCTGGAGCCTACAGACAACCTGAAACAATTGCTCTGGGAGGTGTGAACTCTCTCCCACTCAGAGATGGGGTGTTCACTCTGAAGAGTAATGATTTCACTTTGTGAAATGTGATATGTCACAGCTAACTAGTTGTTGCTGATCATTTTATCAGATGGGTTGCGAATGGTGTGGGCATTTGCCGCTGATGGTGGAGGGAGAGGGAAGAAACTGGGATCCGCACCAGGAAAGGAAGCGAAGGAACATATGGCCAGGGCTGGGGCTGGGGAAGGAAGAGGCGTTTGGGGAAGAAAAGGCTGAGGCCTACTGAAAGACACTGAAGAGAATGCCTGGGTTAGATAGTACATGAAGGTCTCACAGCCTCCTTGTCAATAATGGGGCTCCACTGGAGGCTGAGGGTCCCACATGTACATCCCAGAGCACAAATCCACATGGCTACTGGCTGCCTCCCAAAGTGCCTATGCCTCTCACAGAGAGACAGACAGACATATACTATGCACAGCACAGCCAGACACTGCACATCCCCAGGGACAGAGAGCAAACCACAGGAGCACTAGACAGCAGACACAGACAATGTCCGTTCAAAGGAGCAGCCCCAGCATGTCCAGATTCCCTGGGTCTGTCCGCTGGCCCCTCTCCAGCATATCCCAGCTGGGAGCCTAGGGCCAGGCTCCTGGGGACAGCAAGAGAAGCCAGGGTTCAGCTTCAGCCGCAGGCAGGTGGGGAACAGAAGGGAAATGACCAGGCTGTTGGTTCAAAGGGCAGGATATTCCGTGGGCTCCCTGGAAATGCAGCCTCTCAGAGAGGACTCTGGGGCTGGATCAGACCCTCTTCCCCTTTCAGCCCTGCTGCCGTAGGAGGCATGGCTACCCTACGGCTCTGGGAAGGAGGAGGTCCTGGACAAAGCAGGGCAGGACCTAGGCAGGTCTGTGGACAGCATGTTGGCCAGAAGTGTTGAGTGGCCCGTGGGTGGGCTGGCTCCAGCACTGGCAAGGCCAGGGGGCTGGGGAGTGAGTGGAGATCACATTGCTGCGTAAACAGAGAGCTATTTATAGAATCTTTCGAGTAAAGCAAAGCACAGGTGTGGGAGTAGAGGGGACGACGCCCGGCTGTAAGCCCATGGCTGTGTGCGCTGGGCTGGCTCACACAACGCCTGCCACTCCTGGCTGGTGCTTAGCTGAGCCAGCAGAGCTCCTTAACACCCTGGGCCGGGTCAGGGAGACCCAGGAGCGGGAGGGGCTGTTCCAGCAGGGGTGGTCCCCTGTTGTCTCCCCCTGACACAGGGGATCTGTGCATCTTCCCAAATGGATGGGGTTGCATCTTTCCAACCCCCCATCCTGCTTTGGGCTGCCCCGTTTAGGGCCACCCAAACCTTCCTGATTTGGACTGCCCCCAGGGTCCTCCCAAGAGGCAGGATTCCCAAGGGAGTCCCTAACCATCCCCTGCGGGAGCAGCCAGTGCTGCCCCTGCCAGCTGTCAGCTACTGGGTGCCATGGGAGGGCCATGGCTTGGGACAGAAGGGGAGGGGGCCGTGGGGGTAGAGACAGGGAGGGACGTGGCTGGGGACAGCCACAGAGGGGCGTGGCTGGGGACAGAAGGGGCGGGGGGAGGGCTGGGGACAGTCGGGGAGGGGTGTGCCTGGGGACAGAAGGGGAGGGAGGCGTTGGAGTAGAGATGAGGAGGGGTGCAGGTGGGGACAGCCAGGGAGGGGCACGGCTGGGGACAGAACCCCCCAAAGGAAGGCTACCTGAAAGCTGCCAAATACTCTGGATCCCCCATGGGTGGGTCGAGCCCACCAGTCCAAGCCACATTGATATTAAATCCCTCGCCAGCGCCAGAGCCAACCTGGAAGACAGAAAGGAAGAGTGCTGCAGCAGAGGGCATGGTGTTCAATGGCAGGGCCCGCCGTGCCACGCCAGGGAAGCTCTTAGCTACCCACTTCCCAGCCAGGATCGGCTCCAGTGCCAAGCTCCAGCGGTGCCAGACTGGAGACCCGCATAGTCCACAGCTTGTCCCTGGGCTCAGGTTCCAGCCCAGGAAAATGGCTCCACCTCACAGGAATTGTCAAAGCAGAGCACTTGACGTGCAGTAAGGAACTGTGGTGTTTCCCTATGGCCTGTCACCCCCTGTGCTTTGCACACTCTCCACTGCAAGCCAGGGTGAGTCCTGACAGCTGCTTTACCTGGGCTCAGCAGTGCTTGGAGACGGTCTGGGACAGGAAGTGGAGGGGAATCCTGCCACCAGCCGAAGCTTGTCAACGGGACATTTAGAATTAACTCTTGGAATCGGTTCCCCAGGGGCATGGGGGATTTGTCCGTCCCTCACAGCCTGTCAACTGGGCTGGGGGACAGGAGTCATTGTGCAGAACCTCTGGCCTGGGAGGTGCTGGAGCTCAGACTGGGCAGTCAGAACAGTGCATCAAGGCCTTGACATCCCTAAAATAATAATCCCCAGTGGGATTCCTGCAGGGGAAGCCCCAGGGGCCCAAGTCAGGGTTGCTCTGCACCTGTGCGATGGCTGCACAAGGTGAGGCTGGCAGTGAGGGGAGGGGGGGCGGCTTGATGGACATGGTGGCGGTGGTGGATCTCAGTGCAGTCTGCTGCTGAAATGGTGTTCTCGGCCAGACGGGGAGCCCCCAGGCCTTGTCCTGCACAGCTGGGCGTGTTTGAGGGAGGAGCTGACACTCATTTCCTGTGCCCAGCACCATCAGCAGCTGCCCCGTGAAACCGTGGGCCTGGCATAGGCAGGAAGACGTGGAGGAGAAAGTAGCTCATAATGTGCTTAGTAACCACAACTACTGGCTAAGCATCATAAACCGTCCTCAGCAGCTCTGCCATCCCCCTGAACGAGGGCCGGGAGCCACACGGGAGCTCGACCTGCCTCTAACCGCTCAGCACAACGCCCCTTCGAAAGTACATTGTAAAGGACAAAGGACTGGATGGTATCCGTGTTTTGCCTTTCCCCCTCCTCAGCCCTGCTCCCCGAGCCAGGTTCGCCTCGAGGGCACCGCAGGGCTGCTGCGGCACAGCCTTGGGGGAGCTGTGCAGAGCACCTGGCCCCAAGGTCAGGGGCAGCACGGCCTTGGGGGCTTTGCAGAGCACACAGCCCTTGGGGGGCCGGACGGCCTTGGGGGAGCTGTGCAGAGCCCTGGGGGTTGGGGGCAGGATGGCCTTGGGCAAGCTCTGCAGAGCACCCAGCCCTGGCGGAGGGGGTGGCCAGGGGAATTCCTTACCAAAGTAGCTAAGCAGAAATCAGCCAAGGACAGCAGAGATGTGCGGATGCTCTCGAGCAGGCAAAGCAGTACAGACCCTGCTCATCCTCACTCACTCTGGCCAGCCTCCCCTGCTAAGACCTCACCCAGCCTCCCCAGCCAACAGGAGTCCTGTGGCCCTGCCCAAGCTTCCCCAATCACCCCAAGACTTCACCAAACTTCCCCTCAGCCCATCTCTTGTCCAAAATTCCCCGATCCCTGCCCCTGTCTCCACCAGACCTTCCCCAGGTGACCCCAGGGACTCCCTCCAACCTCCCCCAACCTCCTGCCCTACACAGGACCAACCCCAGCTCCCCTGGGCCTGCTGTGGTCACCCTGTGCACACCCAATTTCCTAGAGTTTAAGACCAGAAGGGACCATCATCACCATCTGGTCTGAGCCCCTGCATCACGTTCCCAGCCCATGGATCCACCGAGGGTGTCCTGCCTTTGGCCCAATACAGCTGGTTGAACTAGAACGGAACTTGTAGAAAGTGACAGCCAGACTCCGAGCCATGGAGAACTCTCCTCACTCCTAGGGGAGCTGTTTTGATGGCTAACTGCCCCCTCTCCCCTTAAACATTCGCACCCTATTTCCAGACTGAATTTGCCTGGCTGCAGCTCCAGCCATTGGATTTCGTTCAGCCTTTGTCTGCAAGATTAAAGAGCAACCTGCTCTCAGAAATCTCCTCCCCGTGTGCGTGTTTCCAGGCCTAGGTTGACTCTTCCCTGCTCTCTGTTAAGCTAAGGATCTGCCACTCCTTCAGCCCCTTGACCTCACACAGGGTCGCCAGGGCTGGGATGGTTCCTGGAGATTTTCTCTGAACGTCCCTTTTGCCACCATTCGTCTCCAGGTGTGGGCTCTTGGCTCTAGAGCGCAGACCTGCCCCAAACATGTCAGGCTCCACCTGGCCGGGAGCATGAGTGCCCCACTGGCTCTTGGCAGTCGTCCATGTGAGCCATGTGTGATGCACAAGTGCTCACGAGAAAGGAGTGCAAAAGGGGTCAGAGTGAATCCATTCAACAGGGCATCTGGCTAGCTCTGCTCCTGGCACGCTCCAGCCTGGGCACCCCACGCTGTGCCCCTCGCACGCTGTCCCCATCCCCTTGTCTCCCAGAGGATGCGGAGCTGAGGTAACCTGGGAGGGGCTCAGAGGCTAATGCTCTCACCTCATCGGCTGCCCCACTGCCAGGGAAGAAGTTGCCGTCATCATGGCGATGTAATGAAATGTAGAGAATGTCTGGGTCTTTGTAGAACACTTGCTGGGTGCCGTTTCCATGGTGAACATCCTGTGTGAGAGAGAGTGGCTGTGAGTGAGCTCTTCACCCTCTGTCCTCTGTCCACGGGATGGCCCTAGAGCCAGGAGCCCAGAGGAGTCCAGGCAACAAAGGGACTGCTCAGACCTCTGCCAAGTGTCTTCTAGGCACATGGACTAAGGCCATAAAATAGCAGACAGTAGCACCATGCTTTGGCCTTTCTCCTCCCCCATTTACACTGGAAGTATCAAAAACACTGAGAAGACGAAGACTTCAACTGAGGAGATTGGTCCAGGCTTAAGCGAGAGGCCTGTGTATTAAAAATTGTAACATCCAGTGGGGTGAGAAAATTGCTTGATCTAAATACTGCCTAGTGTAATAAGGTTTCAGATTTAGACTGTACGCTTATCTTTTATTTTCTTTGGTAACAATCTCTGACCTTTTATGCCTGCCACTTATAATCACTTAAAACCTAGCATTCTGTAGTTAATATAACTGTTTTATACTTTACCTAAAACAGTGTATTTTGCTTGAAGTGCTTAAGAAATCCCAGTTCAGTTTACAAAGGCTGGTGCATGTCCTTTGCATATTGAGGGAGGGGTGGACTGGGTAATAAACATACACTGGCCAGGCTTCTGACCAGGGCAGGACAGTACAGGTGTGGGGTGTAAGGCCGGGGATCTGGGGGGAATTGGCTGGTGCCTTTCTCTGTGTGATTCACGAGTGGCTCTGGGAGCATCCATGCAATCTAGCTGGGTGTGGGGCTCCACATGCTGGTTTGCTGAGTGATAACAGCACCTGGAGGGGTTTGCTGCTTGCCACTCGCAAAGCAATGTGTGAGACAGCTCAGGCTGGAGAGTTAAAGGGGTACAGCAGTACTCTATTTCCAGGTTGCACCCTGGGGATCCTGCCACACCCACTCACACAGCTCTACCCCTCAATCCTGACCCACAGCCCCCTCCTAACCCACCCACTCAACTCTGCCAGTGCCCCTCAATCCCAACCCGCAACCCCATCTGCAAAGCCACTGGCCTCGAAGATAGGACAACGCTGTACTATCCGCGTACATACAGACTACTGGGGACATGTGGCTTGTTGCATCACATACAGCTGACTGGGCTCTGCCCAAAGCTAGCTAGTGGGAGGAACCATCGAGAACAGCTCCAGCCTGAGGAGAGGACAGAGTGGGGAGAAGCCGGGGGGACAGTGGGGCTGGAGGAGACTCACCCAGTCCACAATGAGGATCTTGCTCAGCTTCCCCTTCTGCTGCAGCTGCTTAGCAGCGATTGCCACTGAGTTGAAAAAGCAGAAACCCCTGCAAGGAGGGAAGAGCAGGAGCTGGTCAGTGCCCAGGCACCCTCCCCAAGCAGCCACTGCATCCTCCGAGACAGCCACTACCCTACCCATGCCTGTGGGTTCTCCTGCCCCTCCAGAAGGGGTGGGTTCTCCTCTCTCCCACCCTCTGGATGGGGTGGGTTCTCCCCTCTCCACCCACTGCCCTCTGGGACGGGTGGGTTCTCCCCAGGGCCGGCTCTACAGTTTTTGCCACCCCAAGCAGCGAAAAAAACTGCTGCCACGGACGGCAAAAGGAAGAAGCTGCTGCTGATTTGCCACCGCAGCAGGAAAAGGGGAGAAGCTGCCGCCGATTTGCCGTCGCGGCTGGAGGAACTGCCGCCCCTTTCTAACTACCTGCCGCCCCATGGACCTGCTTGGAACGCTGGTGCCTGGAGCCAGCCCTGGTTCTCCCCTCTCCTCCCTCCAACCACTGACCTCTCGGTGGGGTTGCTTTTCCCCTCCCCTCACTGCCTCCATGGGGTGAGTTCTCCTCTCTTGCCTGCCCAGACACTGCTTGTCAGTCCCACTCTACACAATGGGGAGCCAAGGTTGGAGGCTGGTAGCTCAGCAGGGACTCCCAGCCTGAGCTGCTCCTGCCCTGTATGACTAGCTACTACAACACATGGGATCCGTGTCATTTCCAGCCTACTCCTGGTGAGAGGAGCCTGGCAGTGAGCTGGCCTGGCCCAGATTCCTCGGGCAGGAAGCAGACAGGGTCAGGAGGCAGATGATGGCTCTTACATGGCTGTGGAAGGGTCCGCATGGTGTCCTGGGGGTCGCACCACAGCAAAACCGTTCTGGGGGTAAGACAAAGATGTGATTGTGGGGCCGTTATTGTCCACCACTTCCTTCCTCCTTCCCCCCCGCAACCCCACCCCCAGTGCACAGGCCAGGCTTGCCCTGAGGGTGTCAGGGGGTGCTTTGTCCAACCCCAACGCAGTCTGGAGGACCCCGAGGTGTCCCTCTCACCCTCACACAGAAGTGCCTGGGCCTGCCTGGCTCCATGGCCCCAGGAGACTCTTTCTCAGCCCTGGGGCCCCTGCATGGAGCACGCAGCCATTAGACCCCCAGGTGGCTCCGGTCATGGCACTCAGGGGTGTGAAACCTGCCCCTGCACTCTCGCATCAGATCCTGCTGTCAGTGGCCCCCTCCCAGCTGGGCCCTTGGCACTGGCGCTGGGCAGGGAAGGCTGCCATTCATTCCCATGCTGAATTAGCATCTCTCTTAGCTTGAGCCAAAGGGCAAAGGTAATTTCCAAGGGGCACCAGGCCCTGCTGCCTCTGCTTCTGAGCTGGCTGCCTGAACGAGCCCTCTAACCAGTCATGCCAGCGCTCCCCATTGCCCCACCCACATGAAGTCCAGGTACCTCCAGGTTACAGAGGGAAGTGTCCTGGGGCCTGCTGTACAGGGTCCCAGACTCTAATGGGCACATGCCAGGGCCTGGAGCCATCGACAAGACCCACACAGGAGGTTGTAAACACCCCCATGAGTCCCCATCAGTCAAGGGAATGGCCAGGGATCCCCACTCCAGACATTGGCACGATGCCAGTACTCATTCCTGGCCTCCTCGTACCTTGAGCTCCCTCGTGGCCACTTTGAAGGCCAGGTCAGTGACGCTACCAGCGGCCCAGCGGGCGGCATTGGAGGAGTGCAGCTCGTTCCAGATAGTGTCGCTATCCACCTGGAAACAAGTGGACAGGAAAGCAGTGAGTGGGGCAGGCCGCCCCTCCCGGAGCTGGGCACGGGGGAGTCTCTACAGAGGGACCAAAGCATGAAATGTGGGCTGGCTCTGGCAGCAGCACACTGGCTGGCTGCTTGGTGCCAACAGCTGAAACTCAGTCCTTGGAGGGAGGCCGAAAGTGACCAAACCCCCAAACTCCACTTCCCAAGCCAGTCGGGCAGGCCTCTGCACTTCGAGTCCCGAGGCTGGGCCAGCTATCCCGGCGGCTAGCTCCCTGCATGGCCCAGTTCTTAGCTGAGCAGGGCCAGAGGCGGGGGGGAGTCCACTGCGGGCTCTACACAGCGCGGCTCCCCTGCGCCTGAGGCTGGGGCAGGGATGGAGAAAATGCATTTTACCTTCTTTATTTTATTTTACTGTTTAAACAAACATCTTGGTTTGATCAGGATCACGTCATGGGCCGAGCCAGAGCGGAAACCTCAGAGTCTCTTCTGATCAAGTCCATGTGTGCGGCTCAAATGCCCACTCTGCTCACAGACAGGGGGCAGCGTCCAGCTGAGGAGCCTTGGCTCTCCTGCTCTGGGGGACGGGATGGGCAAGAGGGGAGGAGGGGAGGCTGAGAAGGAGAGAGAGAGCAGATGGGACGGAGGGAGCCAGTGGCCCAGCAACAAGGGCAGGGGAGGAGGAGAGCCAGAGCAGGGAGTGGGAAGGCGAGGAGAGAGTGAGACACTTCCTGAAAGACAGAGAGACAGAGAGAGGAGAGGAGAGGAGAGGAGAGGAGAGGAGAGTGCAGTGAATGGACAGAAACCAGGGCAGCAAGCTGCGAAAGGAGAGAGGCAGCAGGGGTGTCTGGAGCATCGGGCAAGGTGGACGGCTGGTTTGCTCTCCCCCAGTGATACTGCTCTGCCCCTCTGACCTTGCCCCACTCAGGGCCCACCCTGCTCCCCTGACCTGCTTGGGCTGGGACCATCCCCGAACTATCCCCACCCCCACCCCAGGCCTCTGTGAGCCAAATGCTTTTGGTAATCGGGGCCCCAGGCTGCCAGGGCCTGGTTGAGCCCTCCCAGCCATGTTATGGGGCACTGAACAGCCGACAGGGGGGGTCGCTCTGATCCTGGGATCCCATCACCTGGAGCTGACCTTGAGCTATTCCATGCCCAGAGAATCCATGGCTTCCTCAGATGCTACATAGTCCTGGGGCCAGCGTACTTGGCTAGGCTGTGCTCCCCCGCACAGGGCGAGGGCAGGGGAGCTGTGTTACTAAGCCCCAGTGTTACTGAGCCGAGGCCTGTCTCCGCCTTGGGAAGGGGGGCTCCTGCTCTGCCCAGCCTGGGCAAGGGGCCTAGCACTTGAGCCACTCACCGCAAGTCTTCCCCCCCCAAACCCCCCAAGGCAGAGCCTGACACTTACCCCCACCCCCCCACAGGGCAGCATGACGAACATCCTCTGCGACAGGATCCCTGCAAGAGAGAGAGGCAGTCAGGGACCAGGGTGGGAGGGCATGGGGGCCACTGTAGGTTGACAGACAGGCAGCAGGAGCAGCTAGGGGTTGGGGGGCAAAAGGTACCTGGGGGTGAGTGGCAGGAGGCATCTGGGGGTTGGGAGGCAAGAGGGTAGGAGATTCCTGGAGTGTGAGGACAGGAGACACCTGGGAGGAGAGGATATGGGGGGCAGGAGGCACCTGGCCTGGCTGCTTGGCGAGAGTTCGGCTTTGCCTTTCAGCATCTCGCGGAGGTGCATGGCCAGGGCTGGACTAAGCCCGCAGCAGCAGGCACCGGGGCGGGTGCAGGGGTGTGTGCTGGAGAGTGAAGATGCAGGGTGCTGAGTGCAGTGCAGAGTACAGGAGTGGGACGGTGTGGAGAGCTGGGGTAGAGGAGGTTGATGGCAGGATTGGGGCCAGCTGTCACAGCTGCATGTGTCTAGCAGCGTCATGGGGGCAGCACCCCATGGGTATTGCTCCTACCCCTGCCCAGGAGTCAGGGCACCCCAATCAGGCTACTCCCCAGCCCTCTCCTTTGAAGGGTTCCTGCCAGGGACCTCAGGAGCCTGTTCCATCTGCACCGCCAGGCGAGAGTAGTTGAGTTTAGGAGCATTGTCCTGGCCCAGCTGCAATCCCACATCCTCTTGGCTTGGGGTGAGCAGCCCCAATCTGCCTGCAGTGGGGGCACGGCGATGAACTAGAGCCAGCACCCCACCTCCCTGGGGTTAGTGCCGTGGCACGCAGGGTGATGGAGTCTTCACCCAGGGCTCTGGGCTTAGCCTGGCCATGTCCACCGCACATTCTACCTCCAATTCTGCACCTGGGGTGGCATTTACCCAGTGCGATGCCAAAGTGCAAGGCAGCAGAGAACCAGCTCTGTTGTGCTCTGGGGCCCACATTCTCCCTGCAGCCTAGGAAGCCAACCTGCTCAGCTAGTGCAGGTGCACTTGGGTCCAGGTTTTCCAATGCGCCTAACTCCCAACAGCTCCTTCTGTGTCCTGGCCCTTAGCCCCTAAACAGTGAGCAGAGCGTATTAGGGGGCCCTATGGATCGGTGCTCGTGGGGGAGGGCTGGACTCCAGTGCGCAGAAATGGAGAGGATGGGGCGAAAGTTGCCCAATGCCTGGAGCGTGTGACCCAGGGACAGCCCCCAGATGGCTACGTGTGATGGGGTAGTGGGGCCCCCAGTGCCCCCAGGAGGCAGCTTGCTGGCCTCTATGTGGGGAGGGGTGGCCCTGTCTCCTACCTGCCAGTTTCCCGTTGTCCAGTTTGAGGCGATTGAGGGGGTTGGTGCCATAGAGGAAGACGTGGCGCTCAGTGTGCACTGACTGCAGCTCCTCCAGGGTTGCCTTGCGCCCCCGCAGACACTGGCAACAAGTGGGAGCAGGGCAAGTTAGCAGCATCGGGAGGGAAGAACAGGAGGCAGGGTTGGGCATTACTCCCGTGTGTGCCCACGTGCCACCGCCGGCAGAAATCCCAGTCCCTGCCCTCAGCTGGAGAAACAACGGGCCTGAATGAGAGCGGCAGGCTGGAACCAGCATCTAAGCACCAGGAAGGGAGGCCTGGGGGTGGATCTGTTGGGGGGCTGGGAGTCCCTCGGGGCTCAGTGTGCCAGCCCCTCTCTCAAGGACTTGCTTGGTCTTCAGGGTCTCAGCTTTCTTTCAAACCAATTGCAAGGCCGTGTCTGCACAGCAGTTGCACCAGTTCAAAACTGATGTTAGTTAACTGGGTGAGGACCTGGCCTTGCTGCTCTGAGCTGAATTGGCTTGAGCGGGATTGAGGCCTTGTTTACACGCAAAGGCTGTAGCGCTTAACTGTAGTTAAGTGAGGAGTGAGGAGACCTAGGGAGCTGCTGGGGAAGGATAGCTCAGTGGTTTGAGCATTGGTCTGCTAAACCCACGGTTATGAGTTCAATCCTTGAGGGGGCCATATAGGGATCTGGGGCAAAAATAGGGGACTGCCCCTGCTTTGAGCAGGGGGTTGGACTAGATGACCTCCTGAGGTCCCTTCCAACCCTGATATTCTATGGTGCATTGGCAGGTCCACTGCTCACCTGGGTCCAGTGAGCCCAGATCGGGTGGCGAGAGGGCACCTTTACCCCCGTATAACCGTGTCCGCACTGGGGCTGTATCCACAGAATTTCTGCAGTAACCCCTCCCCCCCACGGCTCCATCAGGACACGTGCAGAGCAGGCCTTCACTTGGGCTAAGCGCGTCAACCCCAGCCATTCACCCCAGTGTAACTAGACCAAAGGCTCATCCCCAGAACAGTCCAAGGCAGGTGAGAAAGTCCAGCACTGTCATTCTCCTAGCAGAGGCGCTCTCCTTCCAAGAGGGGCCTTTGGCAGTTTAGCTTATGTGACTTTAGATGCGTTTTCAAACCAAACTGAAAGCAGCCCCGTGTAAACTGGAATCCAGCTGGGGCTGGCACTGGGAGAGCACACGTGATTTAGCTGTGCTGGGAGCTAGGGATGGACACCCCCTGGGACACCAGGTTAACACTCTCCTGTGTAGGCAAACCCCAATCTAGTGAGACTAAGGCCACATCTACACTACAGAATTATATTGACTTAGCTTACGTTGGCATACAGCCACCGCAGCTATTAAATGGCGTGGCTCCTTGGGTGCACGTCCTCCCCAGGAGCACTTGTATCCACTGCACTGTCAGCGTGGGGCATTGTGGGACAGCTCCTGGAGCCAGTAACTGTCGACATAAGCAATGCAGTGTGTGCACCAACCCTTCATGGACCTAATGACACTGACTGTGGCTGCATCGCTCGGGGAGGCGGTGTTACTAAACTGGGGAAGAGGGGCACTCATTGGCAGGAGCCAAATTTAAGTGAAAATTCGTCCACAGCTAGGTTGACGCCAGGCAGCTTACGTTGACCTAACCATGTAGTGCAGATCAGACCTGCTGCAAGCTTTCTAATATAGACAAGGATGTACACAGACAAGGCCTGAGTTTGCAGGGTCTGAGATGGGGGAACCACTTCAGCAGGGGCTAACACAGATACCTGGGATGATACATAATGTCCGTGCTCTCCGCTAGGTCCCAGCTGTGCAAAGCGTGGGGAAGGAGGAGGGTCAGCAGGGCCTGAGGGATGGAACAGGACCAGGAGCCAGAGAAGAGAAGCAGAGCTAGGAGCTCTGTGGCAGCGTGCGTAATTGGGAAGCACCCATGCGCTTCTCCTGGATATCAGTGGGCACTGACCCACGCTTGGAGAACTTGATCCAAGTATTTTTTGCTTTTCTCACCAGAAATGAGTGAACCCCCCTGCAATTTCCTCTTTCAAAGGCTGGCAGGACTCATGCTTGTTGTGAGTCTTGGCTCCTCTGGGGCAGACCCAGAGTCCCCGCCTCTGCACAGAGGCCACCTGGGCCTTCCTGATGTAGCTGCCCATCCTCTCTGAGGCCTCCCTTGGCTTTGGCAGGACAAGCTCAGCCCGCGCTCTCTCACTTACCTCGCACTGGCTGCGCAGACCCCGCTCCTGCAGGCGGGACCAGATACTCTGAATTCTCCCAGCATGCTCGGGATGGTTGCTGTTGTCCCCGCAGGAGCACTGGTGTTTGAGCATCACGGAGTCATACACGAGCCCTGAAACACAACAGCAGGTGGAGGTGTTAGGGGACACCCGCCTGCTGCAACCTCCGTCACCCAGTGTCAGGGATCGGTGCAGTGCCGGGCTCAGCTTCACAATGCTGCTGTGCTCACAGCCCAGGCTGCTGCTCTCTCTTGGGCACCTTACCACCTGCACAGGCTCCCTCTTAGCCGTGTCTGAATGGAAGTCCATGGCCGACTGGGTTGCTGCACGGGGCCCTGCATTGAGCTCCCCTAAGACACGCCTGCCTCCTAGGTGCAGGCTGTCTCCCCGGCACCTCACACTGCCCTGTCTGCTGTCATGTGGAGGGGGCAATCCCGGGGCAGCCCTATTTGGCTGGGTCCCAGAGACATCTCTTCCCACACTCCGGCCCAAGCAGGGAGCCCAGCCCAGAGCCCTTCGCAGCAAGGGGCAGGGGGCTGACTCTAGATCTCTCTGCCCCGGGAGATCTGGGTGGGACGGACCAGCGATGGGGTCAGTGTCGACATGAGCCAAGCGGCTGGGCACTGGTGTCCTTATACCTCCGAAAATCAGTGAATACAGCACACGCCACTGTACACCATCACTCCTACCCTTCCGCCCACCCCACAGGGGCACTCACCCCCTCAAGCCCCACGGGCGCTAACCCTCCAACCCCACGGGGGCACTCAACCCCCCCCCAGCTCCATGGGGGAACTCACCCCCCCAACCCCATGGAGCACTCACCCCCTGCAACCGCATGGGGGCACTCCACCCTTCCCCCCCCAGGAGCACTCCACGCCCCCAACCTCACGGGGGCACTCACCCCCCTCTGCAACCCCAAGGGGGCACTCCACCCCCCCAGCCCTAGGGGCACTCACCTCCTAACCCCCAAGGGCACTCACCCCCCCCCAGCCCTGGAAGCTGGCTCTAAGCCTTGTCTGGAAGCTGACCCCTGATGGCCCAGAGCCCAGTCCCTCTTCAAAGGCTGGGCTGGGGGCGAGGCTGAGACCCTACAGCCACCTCAGTCTCTGCTGTTACGGCATGGCCCTCAGACCAGAGTCTCCCTGGACACCTCCCCATCCCAGGAGGCCTGAGCCGAATCCTACTCCTGACTCAGGCCAGGAGCGGAGGAGACCCTGGTCCTTGCACTCCAGCCCAGCTGCATGGGTACGGGAGCATCCCAGCTGGCCATCGGGTGAGGCACTGGGCCTCTTTGCTGGAGGGCATGGGCTGGACACACCCAGGGGGTGAATGACACAATGGGGACGCCAGGCTGTGCAGGCTGGGATCCTGAGGGCTCAGTCCTGGCTCTTCACGCTCCCTTGCAAGAGCTTGGGCTCTGAAAGGCGTTGTGGCCCCATGCTCCTTTGAGCCCCACCAGTTCCTCCAGTGTCTGCTTGCCTCCTCTCCCACCCTGGGGCTCAGGAACATACTGAGAGGGAAAAATGCCAAGAGACCCACCCCTGGCAGGCTGGGGGAGGTGGCCGCGCGGTAAGGACAGTGTCTTCCCATGGACACAAGCTACACCTGCCACCCCCAGCCTATGTAAACTTTTAGAGAGGGGGCGATAAACACAGCAGGAGACTGGCCTGGCACGGGCCAGCTCCCCAGGCTCTGTTGCCGTCAGGGCAGTTTAGGGCTGGCACTGTGTGGGCAGAGACATGCAGGGTTTATCCGGCTTTCCTAGGGACAGAGTGTGCCTGGTGCAGTGAGGCTGAGTGGTGTGGTGCTTAGAGCAGGGGAATGGGAGTCAGGACTCCTGGGTTTTAGTCCTGACTTTGACCTTCATGTGACCTTGGGTAAATCCCCCTCCCTCTCTGCGCCTCAGTTCACCTTGTACGTCATCTGCTGCTGTGGGGTTAATTGCCATGTGAGGAAGTGGGAAGATGTGATACTTTTGAATCCTGTGTGCCTCAGTTTCCCCTATATGCTGCATTGTTACCCAGTGGGGTGGAAAAGAACTGTTTGCTCTCAGCACAGGGAAAGGGACAAAGATGTGAGTGTCCTCTAGCTGTCTGGGCCTTAGGCCCCATATCAATGGAGCAACCAAGAAGACAATGGCAAATCTTGTCACCAGGACATTGGCACCTGACAACCAACAACCACAGATTGCCCCACCTCTCTGCAGGAAGCTGAGCAGCATTTCCCCAGCATGAGATCAAAGAACTAGCAGTGTATGGAGTAGGGGATAAGAGCTGGCTGCTGGAAGGAGTCAGGGCTCTCACCTGGAGTCGGACAAAAGAGGTCAGATGGTGGGACAGACAGAGCTTGAACCAACGGGTTCACTACAGCTTGGCTGGGCTCTGGGCTAATCAGAATGGACCATGCTTTACCCTTCACTTTTCTATGTTACCCTAAGGACTTCCTGTGCTGTGTTCCAGTTAATAAATAAACCTTCCCACTTTGACAATGCTGTCTGAGTGTCACTGCTAATGGTGTGAGGTGCATTAGGCCCTAACGAGTGCACAAGTCTCCGTCAGGATCTGTCTCAGTTGTACTCACTGAACGGAGCTCACAGTGTGAAGCAAGAGTGTTGCAGGCCCAAACGTCCATTCTAAGGAGGCAGTGAAGACGCGTAGCTTGCGCTGGAGGAAGAGCAAGACCCGTAGGGAGTCTGGCACTGAAGGGATTCCTCCTAGAAACAGTTCCAAAGCTAGGGCCATAGCACCGATCCTGTGGATCCGTGACATACCTGCAGCCCTCCTGGAGCGCTCCCTGCTGGAGGCAGCCCACATTACCTGTTGTGAAGTGCGGTTTGATTGGTGGCTCTTGCACCGGCAGGGAGAGTGTCTTGGTGGGTGCGTCCTGGGCAGGAAGGGCGATGGTAGCAGTGGCAGGAGATGACTGGGCCCTGGAGAGAGGTCGGTGCCCTCCATGTGTGACAGGGACCATCAGGGAGTCGGCTGGTGGCTGCCGCTTGAGGAGCGAGTGCTGCAGGCGCTGGTGATGCTCCCACAGGTAGGCCTGCTGGGGAGAGGGTGTGGCAGATGAGTGTGGCGCCCTGGGCCAGGGATGGTTTGGGGGATTCTGTAGAGGGCCCAGGTGGCACATGCCACTCTCTAGGCCGGGGAAGACCCTGCCTGTCAGTGAGCTGAGCGCAGAGCCTGTGCTAACACCCCCCAGGGCCAGTCTGTGTAGCAGCAAGTGGGGCCAGCGGCCCCCCACAGCATCTCAGCAGCTCTTCAATGCCAGGCCTGACAGCAGGTGTGGAGGAGGGGAATTTCTGCACTGAACATCAGGATCTACTCACTATGCAATGGGCCTGTTCTCTCTGGGCTGTTCCCAACCCAGCCTAGGGAGTGGAAACCCTAGTCCAGAGCTTCCACAACAGACCAAGGCACTGCTGCCTGGGCCTTGGCCAAGTCACAGTGTCTGATGCCCTCTTGTGGCTCTGCATGGCATTACCCCACCCACTGAGGTTAGGGGAAAGGGAGTACAACACGTCTGTGGCAGGGAGCCCAGAGTGCCCAGTCTCCTGCACACATGTTGCTTTGGCAGTACAGTAGGGGACCCCTGAACTCTTGGTGGCCTGTGGAGGAGCTCGCCTGGCCTAGTAAAAGTGCTGCAAACCCTGGGGTGGCAGGGGTGTAAAGGTTCTTTATTGTGGCATAGGTGACCCTGTATGGAAAGGGGAATAAGCCACCCCAGTACAGGCCCCTTTCATACAGAAATGACACACAAGGAGACTCTGCTAAACAAATGTTAGGGCTGCAAAACTCAGAAATGCCAGAATTCAGGCTGCCCGTGCGACCCTCATCCAGCCCTGACGCAGGGGCCTTCGCTACAGTCGTTAACGACACCATCGCAGAGCAGGTTTCCAGAGCCCCTGGCCCTGCAGTGCCCACTGTGGGCCCTGCTCACAGAAGGAGCAGCCAGCCAGCGCTTGGTTTTCTCCTCACTGTGTGCCCAAGCCTTGTTTCCTGCACACTGTTCCGAGCCTTCTCTGGAAACACACGGGTTTGTGATGGGGGTGTTGGGCAGCCTTAGCTCCTGCTGTGTCCTTCTGGCCTTAACATCTAGGAATCCGCAGCAGAGCCCCTGCACCCAGATGGGGGCGCGGAGCAACAGGAGCAGGCTGGAGCTGCTGGCTGAGGGGCAGTGAGGTGGGCCCAGTCATGCCCTCTTCACTACCTTCCCCTCCTCTCATGGGAGGGCGTTTGCCCAGCAGGGCTTTGTGCCCTCCAGAATAGAGGAGCTGGCAGCCCGCCAGCAATGCAGGCGGGGGTGATGAGTCCTGATGGCTCCACGCAGGCTCCTCCCCTCTCCACCCCGGGCATGGGTTTAGAGAGGACATTGATGCCACTGGGTTGGCTGAGCAGCCACACTCCCCATGGCCAGTGAAGTGAGGGCTGCTCCAGGCTGGTGCTGTGCCCAGCACTCCTGGTGCCCTGATCCCTGCCAGCCCTTAGGTACCTGCTGCAAGACGAGCTCCTCCTGTGGCTGCATCAGCTTTGGGCTCCGTTCAGGCTCCTTTGTGCTGACCCCTGGCCGCGTGAGCTCCACTCGGCCCCTAGGCTGGTCACCGCGCTCACTCACTCCCTCTGGGAGCCCCTCCTTGGCCTCCATGTCCTCCGAGGAGGGGATCTGCCGCAGACGAGACTTCTCACTGGACTTGGTCATGAGCTGCAGGGGGATGGGTCAAAATCACTTTGGGGAAGAAAGCTACCAGAGGCTCCCCTGGGATAGACCCCCAGGATCTGATCTGGATATGGGCAGAGACCTCTTTAATCTATTTAATGAAATAAATACTAGTGGGAATTGTGTGATGATGAGAGACGTTAACTTCCCAGACATAGGTTGGAGGACAAGTGCTACCAATAACAGCAGGGCCCAGACTTTCCTGGACGTGATAGCCGACAGATTTCTTCATCCAACAGTTGCTGAGCAAACAATATCTTCATAAATGATCTGGAGGATGGTGTGGATTGCACTCAGCAAATTTGCAGATGATACTAAACTAGGAGGAGTGGTAGATACGCTGGAGGGCAGGGATAGGATACAGAGGGACCTAGACAAATTGGAGGATTGGGCCAAAAGAAATCTGAGGTTCAACAAGGATAAGTGCAGGGTCCTGCACTTAGGACGGAAGAACTCAATGCACCGCTACAGACTAGGGACCAAATGGCTAGGCAGCAGTTCTGCAGAAAAGGACCTAGGGGTGACAGTGGACAAGAAGCTGGATATGAGTCAACAGTGTGCCCTTGTTGCCAAGAAGGCCAATGGCATTTTGGGATTATAAATAGGGGCATAGCCAGCAGATCAAGGGACATGATCGTTCCCCTCTATTCGACATTGGTGAGGCCTCATCTGGAGTACTGTGTCCAGTTTTGGGCCCCGCACTACAAGAAGGATGTGGATAAATTGGAGAGAGTCCAGCAAAGGACAACAAAAATGATTAGGGGTCTGGAACACATGACTTATGAGGAGAGGCTGAGGGAACTGGGATTGTTTAGTCTGCAGAAGAGAAAAATGAGGGGGGATTTGATAGTTGCTTTCAACTACCTGAGAGGTGGTTCCAGAGAGGATGGTTCTAGACTATTCTCAGTGGTAGAAGAGGACAGGACAAGGAGTAATGGTCTCAAGTTGCAGTTGGGGAGGTTTAGATTGGATATTAGGAAAAACTTTTTCACTAGGAGGGTGGTGAAACACTGGAATGCGTTACCTAGGGAGGTGGTAGAATCTCCTTCCTTAGAAGTTTTTAAGGTCAGGCTTGATAAAGCCCTGGCTGGGATGATTTAATAGGGGATAGGTCCTGCTTTGAGCAGGGGGTTGGACTAGATGACCTCCTGAGGTCCCTTCCAACCCTGATATTCTATAAGAGGTGACGCCATTTTAGATTTGGCATTGGTGAGTAGTGAGGGGAATAGAAGAGCTGGTTGCAGGAGACAGCTGTGGTTTGAGTGATCAAGAGCTAATTCACTTTAAACTAAATGGAAAGATAAACAAAATTAGGGCTGAAACTAAGGGCCTTGATTTGAAAAGCGCAAACTTTAAAAAATGAAGGGAATTAGTTAGGGAAGTGGGGTGGACTGAAGAACTCGAGGATCTGAATGTGGAGGAGGCCTGGAATACTTTAAATCAAAGTTCAAAAGTTCTCTGAAGCCTGCATCCCGAGGACAGGGGGAAAAGATTGTGGGGAAGGGTTGCAGACCAAGCTGGATGTCCAAGTACCTGAAACAGCTGATTAAGAGAAAGCAGAAAGCCTACAAGGAATGGAAGGTGGGAAGGATCAGCGAGGAAAGCAACCTCTTGGAGGGCAGAAAGCGTAGGGGGAAAGTGAAAACTGCCGAAAGTCAAGCAGAGCTGGACTTTGGAAAGGAAATTAAAACCAACAGTAAAAGGTTCTGTAGCCAAATAAATAAAAAGAAAACAAGGAAAGAAGAAGTGGAGCTGCTAAGCATGTAGATGGGCTGGAGATTAAAAATAATCTAGGCATGGCCCAAGGCCTAAACGAATATTTTGTCTCCAATTTTAATAAGGGTAACGAGGAGCTTAGGGGCAGTGACAGGGTGGCTAATGGGAACGACAATATGGAAATAGAAATGACCACATCCAAGGTGGAAGTCCAATTTAAACAACTTAATGGAACTAAATCGATGTGTCCAGATAAACTCTATCAAAGAATATTAAAGTAACTAGCACATGAAATTGCAAGCCCAATAGCAAGGATTTTTAAAGGATCTATAAACTCAGGGGTTGTACCCTATGACTGGAAAATTGCTAATATAGTTCCTATTTTTAAGAAAGAAAAAAGTGATCCAGGAAATTACAGGCCTGTTAGTTTCACCTCTCCAGCAACCACACACCACACAACAAAACCACTAACCCAGGAACCTATCCTTGCAACAAAGCCTGATGCCAACTCTCTCCACATATTTATTCAAGTGACACCATCATAGGACCTAATCACATTTGCCATGCCATCAGGGATGCACTTGTTCACCAGCACATCTACCAATGTGATATATGCCATCATGTGCCAGCAATGCCCCTCTGCCATGTACATTGGCCAAACTGGACAGTCTCTATGCAAAAGAATAAATGGTCATAAATCTGACATCAGGAATCATAACATTCAAAAACCGGTAGGAGAACACTGGCCACTCAGTAACAGATTTAAAGGTGGCAATTTTGCAACAGAAAAGCTTCAAAAACAGACTCCAACGAGAAACTGCTGAGCTTAATTTAATATGCAAACTAGATACCATTAACTTGAGTTTGAATAGAGACTGGGAGTGGCTGGGTCATTACACATATTGACTCTACTTCCCCATGTTAAGTATCCTCACACCTTCTTGTCAACTGTCTAAATGGACCATCTTGATTATCACTACAAAAGTTTTTTTCTCCTGCTGATCATATCTCATCTTAACTAATTAGCATCTTACTCCACCTTTTCATGTTCTCTGTATGTATGTATATATATATATATCTTCTTACTATATGTTCCATTCTATGCATCCGATGAAGTGATGTCGTGAAGCTCACGACAGCTTATGCTCAAATAAATTTGTTAGTCTCTAAATTTGTTAGTCTCTAAGTCCCTGTTCTTCTTGCGGATACAGACTAACATGGCTGCTACTCTGAAAAAAGATCTGGATGACCTTGAAAACTGGAGTAACAGAAATGGAATAAAATTTAATAGTGCAAAGTCATGCATTTAGGGACTAACAACAAGAATTTTTGTTATAAACTGGGGAAGTATCAGTTGGAAGCGACAAAGGAGGAGAAAGACCTGGGCATATTGGTGGATCACAGGACGACTATGAGCCACCAATGTGATGAGGCTGTGAAAAAGGCTAATGCAGTCCTAGGATGCATCAGGTGAGGTATTTCCAGTAGATACAGGGAAGTGCTAGTACCATTATACAAGGCACTGGTGAGACCCTAAGTTCCCTGTAAGCTGCACAATTGTGCAGCAGCCTATTTAGCACTGCACAGGTGCTCAGGGAACCCGCTCTGGTTCCCTGTGCTGTACCCGCTCCCTGCTGCGGCCGGGGTGCCCCTCCCCCAGCCCCAACGCAACCTGTGACCCGGACCTGCTGGGGCAGTGTGACTGGAGCGACCCCAGCTGCGACTGGTGTGGCCCAGGAGTGGCCATGGCAGCGCAGCCCAACCCCAGAGCAGCCCAGACCCAGGAGTGGCCTTCCCCCAGCCCCAGGGCTGGGGGAGAGGCGCCTATCCTGCAGCCCCAGCCCCACAGCCCACGTGCTGCTGCGGGGAGAGAGAGCTGGGAGGAGTCCTCTCTCCCCGCCATAGCCACGGAGCACCCTCCTGCACCCCAAACCCCTCATCCCTGGCCCCACCCCAGAGCCCGCACCCCAACCCTCTGCCCCAGCCCTAAGCCCCCTCCCACACTCTGATCCCCTCGGCCTCACCCCCACCACATGAATTTTGTGAATGAATGAAAAAATGAAAAAATTCATTCCACAAATGGGTGGGAAAAATTAGAGGGTGAGACCTCATCTGGAATACTATGTGTCGTTCTGGTCTCCCATGTTTAAGAAAGATTAATTCAAACTAGAACAAGTGCAGAGAAGGGCTACAAGGATGATTCGAGGAATGGAAAATCTATCTTGTGAGAGGAGACTCAAAGGGCTTGGCTTGTTCAGCATAATCAAATGATGGCTGAGTGGAGAGATTGCTCTTTATAAATACATCAGAGGGATAAATACCGGGGGGGGGGGGGAGGAAGTTATTAGAGTGTTAATGGCTATAAATTGGCCATCAACAAGTTTAGGTTTGAAATGTGATGAAGGTTTTCAACCATCAGAGGAGGGAAGTTCTGGAACAGCCTCCCAAGGGGAGCAGTGAGGGCAAAAAAACAAATTGAAAACAAAACAAACAAGACTGAACATGAGAAGTTTCTGGAGGGGATGGGATAATGAGACTGTCTATAATGGCATGTGCCTGATATGCGACTGCTAGCAGCAAATATCCCCAATGGCCAGTGATGGGACCCTAGATGGGGAGGGCTCTGAGTTACTACAGAGACTTCTCTCCCAGGTGTTTGGCTGCTGGGTCTTGCCCACATGCTGAGGGTCCAACTGATTGTCATATTTGGGGTTTTCCCTGGGTCAGATTGGCAGAGGGGGGTTTTCACCTTCCACTGCAGCATGGGGAACCCCAGTGGTGGGGGAGCTCTGTATGACAGGGTGAGGCGGGAGCTGTGCGGGGATGGGAAAACCCAGATGGGAGGAGCTCTGTGTGACGGGGTGAGGGGGGAGCTGTGCGGGGGTCGGGAACGCCAGGTGGGGGCACCTGTGTTCAGAGGTTGATGTGAGGAACTCTGTGATGGGGTGGGGGGTGATGTGAGCACTCTGTGGGGTGGCGTGAGATACCCCTCCCTGCATGCCATCTGGGGTAATGGGGGAAGCTCTGTGCAGGGTTGGTGATGAGGGAGAGTGTTGCGTGGGTGGGCCGAGTGTACCCTGGATGGTGATGGGGGGGGAGCTCTCTGCAGGGGTGATGGGAGCACTGTGGCATGGGGGTACACCAGACATGGGGAGCTCTGTGTGGGGGTGATGGGGGAGCATTGTGGCATGCAGATTGAGGGATGTGATCGTTCCCCTCTATTCGACATTGGTGAGGCCTCATCTGGAGTACTGTGTCCCTTTTTGGGCCCCACACTACAAGAAGGATGTGGAAAAATTGGAAAACATCCAGCGGAGGGCAACAAAAATGATTAGGGGACTGGAACACATGAGTTATGAGGAGAGGCTGAGGGAACTGGGATTGTTTAGTCTGCGGAAGAGAAGAAGGAGGGGAGGATTTGCTAGCTGCTTTCAACTACCTGAAAGGGGGTTCCAAAGAGGATGGATCTAGACTGTTCTCAATGGTAGCAGATGACAGAACGAGGAGTAATGGTCTCAAGTTGCAGTGGGGAAGGTTTAGATTGGATATTAGGAAAAACTTTTTCACTAGGAGGGTGGTGAAGCACTAGAATGGGTTGCCTAGGGAGGTGGTGGAATCTCCTTCCTTTGAAGTTTTTAAGGTCAGGCTTGACAAAGCCCTGGCTGGGATGATTTAGTTGGGGATTGGTCCTGCTTTGAGCAGGGGGTTGGACTCGATGACCTCCTGAGGTCCCTTCCAACCCTGATATTCTGTGATTCTATACAGGTACCGCAGATGCAGGGGCTCCAACACTGCTTAGCTGGCAGCTGTACTGGCAGCAGCAGACGCCAGGGAGCTCACTCGCTTTCCTGGGACTGAGGGAGGGCAAAGCAACTGCTTGTGTCTGCGGGCAGTGCCGCCACCCAGTGCCCTGGCCTGGCAGCTTGGGTGCTGAGTGCCACATGGGCCTTACTCCGCCATGCACCTGAAGTGCCCTCAATCCCCAGGTGCTGCCCAGCATGGCGCCCTCCTGCCCTGGCAGTGGTGTTCCCCAGCCTGCATGCCCGTTAGCCTCTTACCTTTCCCAAGTGTGTCTGCTGCTTGAGTCTCTCCAGGAATTGGGCATGGTGCTGCTGGTACGCCAGCTGCTGCTGGATGGCCTTGGGGTTGGGGGGCAGGGGCTCAGAGCGGGTCCGCCCCAGTGGTTTGTGGTGGCCTGCCAGCGACAGCCGGTCGGTGGGGATGAGTGAGTGGGCGAAGTGGAACGGGACCGTCCCCAGGCCTGGCACTGCGGGGAGAGAGACTGGTGAAGCAGGGCTGGAGCTGGGTGCAGCACCAGGTGCTCAGGAATGGCTGCCAGAGCATCTCAAGTAGCCTGGGCTTGGGGTTGGCATTATCAACCCCTAACCTGGCCTGTGACCCCTGGCCTGCCCCGTGCTGCAGCTCAGGCCCCACCACTGCCCTTTGGGGCTCCGTGCAGCCCCACAGACAGAAATCATTGTGTCTGCTGGGGCTCACCCCCTCCCATTTCACTTATTTATACAGCCCTTACAGACGATTTGGGGGGCCCCGGTACAGTTGTTCCCCTTTCTCCCATCTCGTCAGCTCTGGGGCTTCCTGCTGGGCCCACTACAGCTCTGAGAACCCATGCTCCAGGGGCACCATAGGCAAGCACTTCCCAAGGACAGACTGGCTAATGCCCAGCACCTGCTGCTGCATGGTTCTCAATGGGGGCTGAGGGGGAAACCTCCATGGTGTTCCCTGGGGGAGGGGAATCTCCCTGGGACTCACTGGGGGAGGGGGCGGGAGGTGAGCTCCATGTTCTCACAGAGCGTGGCGGGGCGGGCCTTGGCCTGTAGGCTAGCTGGAAATCCAGCCAGGTGCCAGCCCCAAGTGCAGCATGTGTCAGGCCGGGAGGTAAGTAGCAGAGGGCATTCGCATTACGGCTGGCCACAGCTCCCACCCTTCTCGCCCCCCCGCCCTGCCATTGTGCAGCCTGCGGTGGCTAGGGGAGTGCTCTGGCTGCCCCTCACCCGCTCTGCCCTCTCTGCTTCACACTTGGAGCAGGAGGGGTGGGTGAGCCATGGAGAGGGAAGCCCAGAGGGAAGCGATTGGGATCTGGTAAAGGAACACTCACCCCCCTCCCTCATGACAAGTCAGCGCCGCCCTTGGCTGCAGTTTGAGAGCTGAGTAAATCCCAGCAGGGTTCGGAGCTGAGCTATGCAGAGGTGTCTGCCTGAGTGTGCCGGCTGCTTGACAGCCAGCAGCTTCCCAAGGCATCTCCATGAGTGTTAACTCTGAAACCTAACAATGTGGAATCCCATAGCAGCATTAGCTACCTTTCTGCTCACATGCCAGCTGGTCAGAAGGGAGATTGTTAAGCATAGACCAGTTCTCAGGGATGCCAGGGGGTCTCATACAGCACTGCAGGAAATCTGCTGAGATCCTAGAGCCCCTTTCAGGTACATGCCAGCAGGGCTCTGAGCTGCACTTGGTGCTGGGACTGCAGCCTCAGCCCCAGGACCCTTGGTCAAGTGGGAGCAATACGTACTTGCCACAAGTGGTGCGTGGGTGACCGAGGACTCAAGAATAATGACAGGCTGAAGCCGAGGGGACAGAGGCCCTCCAGGCTCATGCTGCTCCAAGCCAGCTGGTATGAACATGGATGAGTGGGTGCCCGAGAGGACAGGCCCATTCAGCACTGGCACCCGGTGTGCCAAGCCAGAGAGGGAGCGGCGGTCTGCGTCGCCCTGCAGAGAGAACAGGGAGTCCATCAGCAGCCTACCAAGGCGGGGGTAGAGGAGCGGACTGTGATGCCTAGGAGGGGACCTAGGGCCTGACAGAGGCACTGGCAGAGTGTAGAGGAAAGGGATCCCCCTGGCTCTGTGTCCCAAGGTGGGGGGGGGGGCTGTGGGTCTGCAAATCCATGAAGTGCTGCGTCATCCAGGACTGCTGCTCAATGACCTGCGCGTGCTGCGATCCTGGACTTCAGAAGGGGGGTTGGGCTCTCTCTGCCCTGCATGAGCCCTCAGCAGGGTTCCGGAGTCCCTTATGACCCGGCTACCTACCCGGGCACTGGTAGTAGCTGGCAGTCCCAGCGAGATGGCTGGAAGGGAGGCCGTGCTCTGCAGGGCTAACTGGGCCAGCGAGCTCTCCTGCATCATCAGGCGCTGGGCGAGTGGCGCCTGCACCAAACACAGCAGGTTAGTCTCCAGGCATGGCACAGCTGTGTGGGGCAGCAGGAGCTACATGACCAGGGCCAGCAAAGGGTGGCAGCAAGGACCCAAGCAGGGAAGACAGCACTACCAACCAGAAGGCATCAGGGGGACACAGTGCAAGACAGGGAACAGTAGGGGGACCTTGAGGGCATCAGGGCAGCAGTGGGGTGGCTGGTGACTAGCCAGGGGGAAATAGGGTTGGGTGGGGTGCCACCAGCTACTGGGGGGAAGGGAGGGTAGCAGGGCCCAGAAAGCTGGGACTAATTCTTAGCTGCTAGTTTTCAAGGAAGTGGGAATTCTGGAGGGGAAGTTGCCTGGTCCTGGCTCCAGGCCCCGGGGCCCATGAGAGATCTGGGGACAGAACTGCGGAGTTCATTAGCCCATGCTGCTCCCCAGGGACAGCTTGCCCCAGTGACCCCACCCAAGGCAGCATGTCCTGAGCTCCTGGCTCCCTTCAACAGGCCTGCAGGCTTCGTACCTCGTGGGCCATGCTGGGCCCAGCGGGGGGGACTCCATGTTCCGCTGGGAGGCTGTCGTTGGGGGAGCTGCAGCCAGACACAGGGGTGCTGCTACTGCTGGGGGACGAGTCTGCATAGGGAAGAGAAGTCAGACAGGAGAGTGGCAGGATGAAGGGACTCAAGGGCACAAGGTGGCCTGGCACCTTCACCGCTGCATGCACATTGCTTTCTCTGTACCCTTTCTCCCATCAGGTACCCCAGCTTCCTTTCACAGGGACACAACCTGTGTGCAGCTTTCCCTCACGGCTACATCACCCCTCCCAGCTATACCAGCCCGCTGCTGCCCTCCTGGCTCCTGCACAGTGCCCTTGCCCTGCCCTTGCCAGCCGGGTGACACTCAATTCCATCTGGACTTAGCGCTCTCCCTGACCAGCTGCCTGAGCCCAGGTGGGCAGGCAAGGACAGCTCATGCCCTGAGAGCACATACTCCTGGCAGTGCACCAGCCAGAGGCAGGGACTGTACCTGGTTATGCATCCAGCCCCGAGACAGGGCAGTGTGCGCAATCTTGGGGCAGTCCCTGGAGTCTGCCATCATCTACCCAGCTGTGCTAGTGGGAAGAGTGCCCGCCCCCAGGTCAAATGCCACACATGGGTATGTCCTGCTTCTCCCAGCAGGGGTCAAGCAGTCATGGCCAGGGAACTGGGCAGGTATCGTTTGCTGGGACTGCTTTGGGCCCATTAATCCCTCAAGTCTCTGACAGGTCAGAGAAATAGCCCTGCGCAGCTCCAGCATTGCCCTCCCCACTGGCTGGGTCTGGCCCTGCATGGCTATTAGCACATCACACCTGGCCTGAGGCTGCCTTAAAAGAGCATTGCTGCCATGGGGTAGCACCATCCCTGTGCACTGAGCGCCCTTGAAGCTCCATTGGCATGTGCGACCCCCTGCACGGAGCCTCGGGTGCGGGGCTTATGCGGGGTCCTAGTGTGCAGCAGCTGCTTTCCCTGGAGCCCCAAGTTCCTACTGTTGCCCCAAGAGACCCTCACCAATGGCCTCTGCTGGCCTCCTCTTCAGGGAAGGGGGTGCACTCTCCTTGCGGGTCAGTGGGTTCTTACGCCGGTCCACCGACTTCTTGGGCTTGTATCGCACCTTCAGGTTGGGCTCAGATGCTGTGGGCAGACAAGGCTGTTTGTCAGTGGTCTCCCTGCGCTATGGCATCGATACAGTGCTGCCGCACTGGCCTGTTGGGCTCAGGCATGACCCTTGGGGCTGTCGCAAAGTCACCTTCAGACCTGCACACCCCTGCGCCAGCCCAACCTCCTCCCACTCCCGAGCCAGTGCCAGTCTCACCTCCCTGCCAGGACACAGGCCCTGCTGTGTGTGGAAGCGAAGGCCAGGAGGAAGGCAGGCTGGGAAGGTGGGCTGAGTCCACCCTGCGGTCGCACCTGCGTGCATGGGCACGAAGCCAGCATGGCATGGCCTTACCTGTTTTCCGCAGAGGAAAGTGCTCCGGAGGGTCTATGGAACTGTTGGGGACTTGTGGCAGGAAGGGGCTGAGCACAGGAGGGGCAGGGCCTTCAGTATCCAGGGGCTCCAGTGATCTGCAGGGAAGTAGCAGCAAGGTTAGAGACCGGCCCTTGGCTCCAGCGGCCCTTGGCTCCAGTGGCCCGTGGCTCCAGGATTTTTCTCAGCCCTACAGCACTGGCATTCCCCCGGAAAAGCCTGGTACAGCCTGGCCCCACCATGCCACCAAGTTTGCCCGCAGCTTCTTGGCACTGGGGTTGTTCCTGGTCCTCAAAATCCCACCAGCCCAACAAAGGGCATCCCCACCCCTGGTGCTGGAACAGCCCCCAAACACCCTTATCCCAGAGCAGCCTCTGCCCCGATGTTGGGACAGCCCCCAGACACCCTCAGTCCAGCGCAGCCCCTACCCGATGCTGGGACAGCCCCCAGATACCCTCGATCCAGCGCAGCCCCAGCCCCTGGTGCTGGGACAGCCCCCAAACATCCTCGGTCCAGAGCAGTCTCCAACCCTGGTGCTGGGACAGCTCTCAGACACCCTTGGCCCAGCGCACTTCCTGCCCCTGATGCTGGGACGCCCTTGGCTCAAATTTCCTTGGTCCAGTGCAGCTCCCACCCCTAGTACTGGGTTTTCCTCAGCCTGGACTGTCCCGCCGGGAAAGGAGCACATGTGCATCACTCTGCCCAAAGTTTTCCCCCACAGTCTGTATGGGAAGTGCCTCTCCCCACTGTGTGGATCCAAGGCTCGGACACTCCAGAGGTGCTACAGTTAGACCTCTGCACAGATACAGCATTTAGATACACATCCGAGCCATGATCTGCAAAAATGGCCCGGGGCTCTAAAGCGGCGATCCGCGGATTTGCAGGGCTCTAGCTACAGTCCCAGAGATGGCCTGTCCAGGTGTGAGCAGTGGGCCCAACTTTTGGGTGCCTGCCAGGTCCCCATGAAGAGCAGATAAAACCAGGTCTGGCCACTAGAGGGAGCACCCTGGTTGCCGCAAACCACAGAAAAATCCAGCTCCGAGGGGCTGCCAGAGCTGTAGAGTCCTAAGGAACCTAGGTGAACAGAGCGTCCCCCACAGGATCACTGCACCCACGGCTGTGCTCCACAGACACAGCTGCTGTGAGAGCCCCTGCCCCACAGACAGATGTAGGCCTTCCCCCACCAGCAGCCCCATCAGGAGACAAGCTCTCTCCACTGAAAGCCCAGTATCTCTGCCTCACCTGTATGGCCTGGGGGCGTGTCTTGGGGATGCTCAGGTGTCTCTCTCTCTCATCTATATGGCGGCAGGAGGTGTGGGGGGGATGCTCAGGTGTCTCGATCTCACCTGTACGGCATGGGGGGGGAGGGGGTTGGGGGTGCTTAGTTGACTATCTCACCTGTAGGGCATGGTGGGGCCACTGGGGTTGCTGGTCCTTTCCAAAGCTGCCTGTTGTTTCTTCAGGATGACTTCGGCCAGCTTCTGTTTCACCACTGTACTCGCCACAGCACCTGCAGGGAGAAGGGGAATGAGCATCCTGGGTTGGGAACTGATAAGAGCCTCCTATAGGGCTCCCAGAACGACATGGGCGGCCTCCCCATGACTTTCTGTCCTGGGGCACCTGCAGGCCTGTAGCACAGACCTGAGTGGCCAATGCCCAGGGCACAATGACTTGGCTCCACAGGTCTAAGAGCTGGGTCCCTCTAGCACATCCCTACCAAGCCTTGCTCAGATGCTATTAGATTCTCAGTCAATCCCCCACCTCCATCAGCCCCTACTGCTCTGTACTGCCCACTCGGGCAGCCAGCTGTGGACCCTTGGCCCAGGATGGAAACCTTCTGCCACCCCTTGTGCTACATAATCCCCAGGTCTCATCGCTTACTCTGAGAAAGGCCCCTGAGGCTCCATCGTCTCCTTCTTGCTTTCCATTATTACTGCATTAGTGCTTTGCCTAGAGGCCCCACTATGCCAGGAGCTGCCTTGCCACAGAGTTACTGAGACTGGGGCCCTTTTGTGCAAGGTGCTGTGCATGCATGCGACAATATCTGAGATCGGGGCCTCACTGTGCTGGGCATGGGCACACGCACACATAGAGTACCTGGATCGGTACTCCTCCAAAGTGTCCAAGAATGCCACCCAGAGGCACTCTGCCCAGAGACATGAATGGACAAGTGCACAAAATTGAGCCCCCACTCTCAGTTGCAGATCCCGTCCAACCCTGTCCTCCTTGACTGATATATGGCCAACATGGCCAACGCCAGGAGGAGGTTGATGAGATGGTCCTACAACCTTGTGGGGCCGCAGATAGGGAGTGCAAGGAAAAGTGCAGCCAGAACCTCAACAAGAGGTTTTGGAGGAGGCGGAAAAGGGACTGCGGCCTGGTGCACTGTAAATATGCATGAGCCAGGGTCTCCCTCTCGCCACAAGAAGAACAAATGTCAGGGGAGTCCGAAAACCACATAACTCTCCTGTGCTCACAGCTCCACGAAGCAGCCATTAATTTATATCCCCAGCAGACTGTGGCACAAAGGTGGAATACAGGCTGGCTCACTGGGGCTCCTTGCTCTCCAGAGATGGCAGCAGGTCCCACCACTTTGTATCGGGGCGGGTCACGAGGGTGAGGAAATGAACAATGTGGGGCACAAACTGCTCCCATGATGTGTCTCAGAAACAGACTGGCTGGATACTACTAAGTCAGTTCATATGGGCAGTTTAAAGCAGCCAGGGGGGCTCACAGGGCCAGGGCCTGACCTCAAGCTCCAGAAGGCCAGGCAAACGGGCAGGCAAGGAACACCCTGCTTCAGGACTTGCTCGAGAAAAGCTATAGAGGCTGGGGGCTGGGCAGCCTTTACCTCCTGGAGTTCATGGCAGGGGACATGAAGGGTGGGCAACCTCATTCACTGAGCAAGTGTACCAGGGTACACCCAATCCCATCAACTGTGGTCCAGAGGTCTCTGACTTTGGTGCCACCAGCCATGACCAACCTCCAGTGCACTGAAAGAACCTCCACCGTGTGTGCCACAAGATGTGGGCGTGGAACAGGGGTTCATCTAGGAGGTGCACACCCTTAGTGCCCGTAACAGACCTGACTGTGGAGACCAACCTCCAGGTCCTGAGACCATCCTGGTAAAAGACTGGCAGCTCAGAAAAGTCTCAAGGGAGACCTCTCGGATATAGATAAAAGAGTTGCCAGTCATGTCGGAGCGCTCAGAGGAGGTGGAGGAAGGTGTGCCCTAGCTGGCTCCAGGCCAGACAACAAGCATTATAAAGGAGCCTCTGCAGGGCCTGGAGATGGAAAGTGTGAATGCATATCAGGCCCTGCCCTTCCTCTTCCAGCGGGAGGCTCAGCACGCCTGCAGAGACTCAGTGCTTTTGCGGACAGAAGAACTCCAGGACCTTCCCCTGGAGGCTGGCCAGGGTACCCGGGAGTGGGCTTAGGCTACTGACCCAGGGCCAGAGTAGGGACAGGACTAGTTTGTAAAGAACCAGCGACCTCCCCTGAAGGGAAAGGCACCAGAGAAGCCCCGTCCATGCCCACAACCCATCAGACACCCTGGCCCCCAAGTCAGTCCTATTTTCTAGTGGGGAGGGATAGGTAAAATAGGTAAAAGCCCAGAGTAGCAGACCTATGCCACACTGGACGGTATGAAGCGCAGGTGGGAGGCAGCTCACATGACACCCACCAGGCCAGAGCTCTTGACCCAGCTGACCCAGGCAGAGGAGGACCCTGAGTAGTTGGTTTGGCAAGCCTCCACCCCCACCATGTCTTCCAGATCCTGGGCCAGAAGTTGCACATCATGGGTATACACCACCCTCCAAGCCGGGTTGCGGAGCACCAGCCCCATCAATCGCTTGCATAAGAGACAAAGGGAGGCCTTGACAACAATGGCATACAATTGGCCAGACAAAGGGCAGCCCTGACACACTCCCTGACCAAAGATGACTGGTTTGGTCAAGGCCCAGTTGAGCTGGACTATACACTCTTCAGAGGCGTGCAGCACCTGGAGGAATCTCACAAACTGGGGACTGAAGCTGATTGCTCACACAGTTCCCATGAGATACTCATGGTCCATACTGTCAATCCCCTTCTCCTGGTCAAGGGACAGGAAGGTGAGAGACAAAACATCCCTACATGCCAGACAGAGAAAGTCCCAGACTAGATATAGATTATCAAATAAACTCCAGCCAGGGACAGCATAGGACTGGTTGGGGAGTATCACGTATGCCAGCATGGACTTCAGCCACAGCAAGATGGCTTTTGCTACGACCATATAGTCTTCACTGAGTAGGGATACTGGGCTCCAATTCCTCAGGTCCTGGAGGTTCTCCTTTTTTGGTAGCAGAGCAAGCATTGCCCACCTATGCGTCATGGAGCACCCCAGGAACTTGGCTCAGATGATGGCAAGGCCAAGGATGTCCCAGAATGAGTGGCAGAACTCCACAGTCAGCTCATTGATGTCCAGGCATTTGCTAGTGGGCATCAAACAGAGGGCTTCCGAGAACTCTGCCAGTGTGAGAGGAATAGCTGGCTGTATTTTAAAGAAGCCTTATTAAGGGTGCAGGAACAAATCATCCGGATGTGCAGAAAGAATAGCTAATATGGCAGGCGACCAGCTTGGCTTAACAGAGAAATCTTCGGTGAGCTTAAATACAAAAAGGAAGCTTACAAGAAGTTACTGAGGAGGAGTATAAAAATATTGCTCGAGCATGCAGGGGTGTAATCAGGAAGGCCAAAGCACAATTGGAGTTGCAGCTAGCAAGGGATGTGAATGGTAACAAGAAGGGTTTCTACAGGTATGTTAGCAAGCAGAAGAAGGGCAGGGAAAGTGTGGGACCCCTACTGAATGGGGGAGGCAACCTACTGACACATGATGTGGGATAAGCTGAAGTACTCAATGCTTTTTTTGCCTCGTTACTCACAGACAAGGTCAGCTCCCAGACTGCTGCACTGGGCAGCACAGTATGGGGAGGAGGTGAGCAGCCCTCTGTGGTGAAAGAACAGCTTAAGGACTATTTAGAAAAACTGGACATGCACAAGTCCATGGGGCAGGATGCAATGCATCCGAGGGTGCTGAAGGAGTTGGCAGATGTGATTGCAGTGCCATTGGCCATTATTTTTGAAAACTCGTGGCGATTGGGGGAGGTCCTGGACGATTGGAAAAAGGCAAACATAGTGCCCATCTTTAAAAAAGGGAAGAAGGAGAATCTGGGGAACTACAGCCTCACCTCAGTCCCTGGAAAAATCATGGAGCAGGTCCTCAACATGGATTCACCAAAGGCAAGTCATGCCTGACCAACCTGATTGACTTCTATGATGAGATAACTGGCTCTGAGGATATGGGGAAAGCGGTGAAAGTGATATATCTTGACTTAACAAAACTTTTGATATGGTCTCCCACAGTATTCTTGCCAGCAAGTTAAAGAAGTAAGGATTGAATGAATGGACTATAAGGTGCATAGAAAGCTAGATTGTCAGGCTCACTGGGTAGTGATCAACGGCTCAGTATCTAGTTGGCAGCCACTATAAAGCGGAGTACCCCAGGGGTCGGTCCTGGGTCCGATTTTGTTCAACTTCTTCATTAATGATCTGGATGGTGGGATGTATTGCACCCTCAGCAAGTTTGCAGATGACACGAAGCTGGGGGGAGAGGTAAATATGCTGGAGGGTAGGGATAAAGTCCAGAGTGACCTAGACAAATTGGAGGATTGGGCCAAAAGAAATCTGATGAGGTTCAACAAGGACAAGTGCAGAGTCCTGCACTTAGGAGGGAAGAATCTCATGCACCGCTACAGACTAGGGACCGAGTGGCTAGGCAGCAGTTCTGCAGAAAAGGACCTAGGGGTTACAGTGGACGAGAAGCTGGATATGAGTCAACAGTGTGCCTTTGTTGCCAAGAAGGCTAACGGCATTTTGGGCTGTATAAGTAGGAGCATTGCCAGCAGATCGAGGGACATGATCGTTCCCCTCTATTCGGCATTGGTGAGGCCTCATCTGAAGTACTGTGTCCCTTTTTGGGCCCCACACTACAAGAAGGATGTGGACAAATTGGAGGAAGTCCAGCGGAGGGCAAGAAAAATTATTAGAGGGCTGGAACACATGACTTATGAGGAGAGGCTGGGGGAACTGGGCTTATTTAGTCTGCAGAAGAGAAGAATGAGGGGAGATTTGACAGCTGCTTTCAACTAAAGCAAAGAGGATCCAAAGAGGATGGAGCTAGACTGTTCTCAGTGGTACCAGATGACACAACAAGGAGTAATGGTCTCAAGTTGCAGAGGGGGAGGTTTAGGTTGGTTATTAGGAAACACTATTTCACTAGGAGGGTGGTGAAGCACTGGAATGGGTTACCTAGGGAGGTGGTGGAATCTCCATCCTTAAAGATTTTTAAGGCCTGGCTTGACAAATCCCTGGCTGGGATGATTTAGTTGGGGTTGGTCCTGCTTTGAGCAGGGGGTTGGACTAGATGACCTCCTGAGGTCTCTTCCAACTCTAATCTATGATTCTATGAAGCTC